CAGCTAGCAGAATATTTAGTTCTATTGCATCATGAATAATTATGCAGCTAGCAGAATATTTAGTTCTATTGCATCATGAATAATTATGCAGCTAGCAGAATATTTAGTTCTATTGCTTCAGACATAATTGTTGAACTAAAACTTTGCATTGCATGTATGCAAATATATCTCATGGCAACAGAAGTGTTGAAAAACATCCTTTAGCAATTTTCTAATTTTCAAAAAGAACCCTTGAGAATACATACAGTGATAACCGGAAAACTCTGGAATAGAAAGACGACTTTTAAACTCAAATTATGACTTTAGTTAGTCCATTAAGCACGGTAAACATAAATTGGTCCGTTTAAAAACCCCATTTTACTTAATTTGCAATTTAATAAGTGTCTAGTAAAACTATTTGCACTCAAAAGTATTGCTGCAAAGTCGTCTTCCTATTTCGGAGTTTTCTGGTTATGACTGTAGGTTTAAATATTCATCGGTAATCATGTTTAAGGGACTTTTTGAGAAAAGGTCTGCACTTGAAATTTCGTGAACAGTCTCAAGATTTTGTTATTCAAAGTTAAAATTAAATCCCTTGATTTGTTTAGGTTTATGCCACAAAGGAACAAGGATGGAAACGTTAAAATCACCATTAATGAGGACGGAGATGAGGTAGATAGATAGATTGATAGATATATAAATAGATATTTATATAGATAAATATTTAGATAGATCGATAGATAGATAAATAGATAGATAGATACAAACTGACAAAGGCAGGGTTAATGTTTCACAAAATGTTCACTCTTTTTACAATTTCAAATTTGTTGTTGTGACCGCAGTTTTCCTTTTTTTATGGTGGCCAGAGAATTCAGCAGATCTTAAATTTGAAATTTTTGGAAAAGTTTAAGATGTCCAAAGAGTGTTCAGGATGAAAAAATCTCATATATAATAATTTATGGAATCATGTGCATTGTTAATTCCTTTATAAAGCACAAATCCGTAGTTTTCATGGTCCGACCCGAAGGATTAAATTAACATTTGTATTTTTTTATATCGACAGATTAAAAGCCACAAAAATTTTCTTCTGATAAATGACCCAGTGTTTTTTTTTCTCACCAATTTATTTATTTAAAAGTGACCTATGCGGAGATCAAGTTCAATATATCAGCGTTTTTGTATTTTTTTTCAGCAAAAGCTTTTTTTTGTTAAATGATTACAAAATATGAAAATTCCGCGGGGGATGAAAACAACTGATAACTCGTCATATTTTTTTCTGACCCCAATATCTTTGCATCCTGATGTCCTTGACCTTATTTTAAACTTGATTTGTCTTCGATCAAATATTCAAAACAAGTGGAGAAAATATATGTAGAGATAAAAAAATTATAGTTTGTGGCAAGTGATCAATTCTTTCAAAATTAACATAACGTTAAAGAAACATGAAATATGTTTAGGTTTCTACCCCTGTGGAGAATACGGAACCTATGGATAGCCCTGGAGGGGGAGGGGCTTCAACTCTCACTGAAGGAAAACAAAAGAAAAAAGGTAAAAAAATTAAAATTAAAATTCTACCAGTTAATCATAGATAATCAATTACTCATACAATAATGCTGAAGGAAAATAAAGTGACCAGTCAGGACAATAAATAACCCAGTCGGGACAATAAATAACCCAGTCGGGACAATAAATAACCCAGTCAGGACAATAAATAACCCTGTCAGGACAGTAAATAACCCAGTCGGGAAAATAAATAACCCAGTCGGGACAATAAATAACCCAGTCAGGACAATAAATAACCCAGTCGGGACAATAAAGTGGGCAGTCGGGACAGCAAAATGGCCAGCCGGAAAAAAACAGTGGGTAAATTGGACAATAAAGTGGTCAGTCAGAATATTAAAGAAGTCAGTGCAGTGGACAATAAAATAGCCAGTAGGGAAAATAAAGTGATCAGCTTGGACAATAAAGTAGCCAGTAGGGAAAATAAAGTGATCAGCTAGGACAATAAAGTGGCAGTCGTAGTTTAAAGGAAGTCAGGACAATAAAGAGATCAATGAGGACAAAAAATCAATGGTTAGCAAGTGCTATAAAAAGTCGACAAGGACAAGAAAATAGCACCATTTGAACAGTTTTGATGATTTTTTAGGTTTTTATTTTACGTACTTTTATGTATTTTTTGGGTCTTTCTTTACTAAAAAATGTATTTTTTTTAGCTCAAAAGTTTGATGCAAACCTAAAAATACATATATTTTCATTAAAGTCTTACCAAGTAATTTTTCTAAGATTTAACATTTTAAAATATATTTAGGTTTTTTTAAAAATATGTAAAATAAAAACCTAAAAACTTTAAAAAATTAGTTGGCATGAAATTTACGAAAATATACGTATTTTTAGGTTTGCATTAAACTTTTCAACTCTAAAAAATATACAACTTTTTGGGTAAAGATTACGTAAAATAAAAACCTAAATACTTTTAAAAAATTACTTAGTCGAGAACTTACGAAAATATTCGTATTTTTACGCATTTTTCGGTTTTTCATACTTTTGATAAACTTGAATCTGAACAAAATTTCTATTATCTCCGTCAATTTTGATGTTGAAAAAATGGTAGACCACATTTTGGAAATCCTGAAACTACTACTACAAATGCACTGCATCAGTCTTTCTAGAAAGTGGAAACTTGAATACAAGATTATCTCATAAGAAAAGGGCCTCTATCTATATAAATAAAGTAGTAATCTCTGTTTGTTTCTTGACATGTTCGATCACAACTCATGAACCCCTGGACAGATTTGTGTCAAATTTTGATGTAGGAACTTGTTAACGAAAGTGAACTTGGCTTGGTTTGAACATTTTAAGTTATGAAGATTGAGTTTTATAGGGAAAACAATTAGTTTCCGGACATAGCTGGGTTCAGAAGCTAGTTGTAACAATAGAAGAAGATCTCAATGTCATCTTTAATTTAAAAATAAAATGTGAAGGGCGTTACGATTGAAAAGGCCAAAAGAATTTTAAATCTTTTTTCAAAATTCAAATTCTAAAAAACCTTGTTTTAGATTTGAGGGGAGAATTATCATCACCCGTGTCTCTGCTGACATCTCCCTGGCGAAGAAGAACGCGTTAAACAACCCCTCGAAACGCGCGTTGATCGAGCGCACCAACTCAAGAGGCTCTAACCTGGCCGAGGTGCAGAATGAGATCGAGAGAATATTCGAACTCTCTAAATCGCTTCAGGATTACAATCTTTTTCAATCATTTTTCTCATTTAAAGTGTCCACAGTAAATTTTAGAAGTTTGACGGGGATGAACTGGATAATTGAAGGACCTGTAAGTGACCCATCCATGCATTTGTAGAGTGACATGTTTCATTCACAATGGTACTTTTTACACTTTTGCCCAAGGACGACAGAGACATTCCTATTTGATCATCAGAAAATTAACCTTCGGAAGTCAAGTCATGGAGTGTACAATATAACCTGGGCACTTCTTCTTAAAAATAAAAAAAAATTTCTTAAAAATGGTTTTAAAATGATTGATTGATTGCAGTTGGTTGTGCTTGATTGTGATACTATAAACCACCCCAGCCAACTACTCAAAACATCACTCAACCCCATCCTAGTCTACCTCCAGGTACTGTTGCAGGGAGAACCAGAAAACTCGGGAATAGAAAGTCGACTTTTAGACACAAATTATGACTTTAATGAACACTAGCTGAAGGGCACGGCATTGCCCGTGGAAAAATGACACCCCCTGGTACCCATGAGTTTCCACAAAAAAATTTAGCGCAATCGGTCCAGCCGTTTGGCCGGCTTTAGGCAACACATATATATATACGAATGTCTTGTTTTATTATATAGATGAGACACAACAAAACCATTTCACTTGATAATTGATTCAATAATTTATTTGTTTAATAAAAACATGAAATGCACTTTAGTATTGCTTAAAATATCATCTTCTCATTACACAGTTTTCTGCTTCTCACTGTATCAAGGTCTGCGTTGAATTCTCAATATATCAAACAAATTTATAAATCAAATGAATAATTTTTAGAAATCTACCGATCAATAAATGAATAAATCTACCGTTTCTTAAATGAATTAATTAATGATTTAATAAATTGATGAAAATCAATTTATGAATAACTCAATAAATAAATCAATTAAACAATTAATAAACTATACAATAAGTTAATCGATTAAAAAAACTCAAAAATTTAATCAATTAAACAACTTATATCTGATGACAGCTTCTCTTTGTTTCATATTTATCTGCTTCTAAGCTGATTTAAGTCTTGATAGAAATCAAAATTAAAATCAAAAGTCGTCTTCATTGTCTTGATATATATGACGACAATTGCAGAAAGATAAAACATCATTTCTTTGAGTCATTTAAGTCTTTTATATCCAATTTATTTATTCTTCTATCTTTACTGGCTTGCATTAAATAATTTGTCATAAAATACAAAAAATTGCAAAAATGAATTGATTTTAGATAAGTTATAGAGCTAAAAAATTTGCTTAAAGTCATATAAAATATGAAGAATAATTCCAATTACATATATATTTACAGATCTCCTCTCCCAAAGTGTTGCAGCGCCTAATCAAGTCCCGAGGGAAAGCTCAGACTAAAAACATGAACGTACAGCTGGTTGCAGCAGAAAAATTAGCACAATGTCCTTTAGAGGTAAAAACGTGTGAAATTGTTTTAAATTGTTCTGAGCTGAAAACTTTAGAATGGTGGATATAGAGATTAATGCTTGATCCTCTCTTTTTCTTAATATCGAGACTAACCTAATCATGTACTTGTATCCTGAAAAGTGTATAAAATTCAACCAATCAGAGTCCCGTATATGAAGCCGATAAATTTGAAATTATGCGCGCCATTTAAGATTATATACAGAAATAGGAGGAACTCTCTAATTTAGAAAACCCGGTTTTTGATTTTTCTCTACTATATCCAAGAAAGGATACCAAGAAAGGATAGTTTAAGAAGAAAATCAAAAGTGTGTCCATTGGATACTCAGATTAAGTAATCGGGATTAAGGATATCTCATTCTAAAGTTTTCACCTCTGTTAATAGATCTAGATAACTAAAATATGAAAATTGCATAATGTATAAGGTTCAAGAATGAATATCTGCGAATTTGAATGATCTGCAAATTTTAATGTCAAGAACGTGAAAATCTACGTAATTCATTAAACTTTTTGATCTTGAACACTGAACAGGTCTTCTTTTAGTGACGATAAAAGTAAAAATGCGAGGCAGAGTTAATCCTTTGTTAAACCATATTTGTATGCAACCCTAATGATACAATGGATTTGCGCATTTTTCCCTTGCATATTTGCATTTGAATGTTTTAAAAATTCCAAAAAAAGGGATAAAAATGTTTTTTTAGAATGCACTTGTTTTTTGTTAGTTTAGAAGGAGCTCGGGTATATGACAATTAATATTATTTAAATTGGCATCCTAAATATAGACCATTCATATTTGAACAATCCCTTTCTCTAGATGTGGGATATAATCCTCCACGAGAACTCGTTGGAGGAGGCCTCCGACCACCTCTGTTCCTGGTTGGAGGAATACTGGACAGCTACTCATCCTCCGAACAGACAAAACGTTGATAATACGGTCACAAACACAAGAATGTACAGACAAAGGTAAAGGAATTGAATATTCACCACAAATTTTAATTTTCTTATTCTCATATTTTTGCAACTTGATGTCGCGTATATATTTTATATCATGAATTGTTTGATCATATGATCTAAGCTTGATCACTCAAAGAATTACATCAACAAGGTGCATAAATATATGCAATTCGAGTTTCAATGACAAGTGTTTAATTCCTTAAAATATTTTTGGTTTATTGGTTTCTCAAGGATGGATTTAAAGTTTTCTCCTTTTCATTTTATTTTTTATCTTTTACACTCAAAGATTTGTAATATCTACAGGGTTATCCACAAAGAATGAGACTTCAGAGACGACTGTACGGAAATTATACTGTCTGTTTTCTCATATTCATGTTTCGCTACTACAACCTTCAACCTTTCTTTACCAAATCATTAGATAGGCCATTTAAAGAAGACTTAATTTAAACTTGAAGAGTTTAAACTCGTCTTTACAGTTTCATCCTTTGTGCTGGTTTGAATTTTCATCATCGATTCAAATCCTTTCCGGATCTTTAACTTTGAATTGGTGATTGTGATTCTAATTTGAATCGGCAGTAGGTGGTTCAGCGACCTAGCCCTAATTAATTCATTAAATTAAGTCACTGTTCCTTCAGTAAATAAAGATGAAGGAATCATGAATGTAGGAAAGTAGGCAGTACAAATTTCGTACAGTCGTCTCTGAAAGCTCATTCTTTCCAGATAACCCTGTATTTAAAAAGCAGTTTCACCCGTACCTTTCAAATTAAGCGTTGGGGTAAAATTGGTCTGTGTAAACTGCACAATAAATGTATTTTAAGTTTCACAGCCGTCGTCTTCCATTTTTATTTTTATTTTTGTTGTTGTTTAGAGCAACTGATGAAGATTCTGAATATATACGGATGAGAGACAGATACGAGGAAGAATAAGGGATGAATAGAAGAGAAGAAAATAACAAAAGAAAGACAATAAATCTCCAATGTGATCCCTTAGTGCTGAACCTTAATATTTAGGATGATATGTCGTCTTCTTTACGTAGACAACAGCTGTTTTTATACCAGTGAAAATGGCGCCAATGATGTCAATGTCGAAACAGATTGGTTGTAAATTCTTATTCTGACTTTTTTTACCTCTTTAATTTAAATTCCAAAATAAAACTGATGGTATTCCAAGGAATTAAGTCTTTCCCACAAAATAAAATTGTCTAATCCCTATATTTTTCAGATTGATTATGTAAAGCTTTGATATTTCAATTTTAGATTATTTGATATACCAGATTTCATAGTTCGAAATATCTAAGACCTGCGACATAGGGTTGCAAAGATATAGGGATGAGAAAATCAGAGTTGGTGGGAAAGAATCAATTTCTTTAAAAAAAAATTTCCGAGAAAAAATTATTTAAATGTGAAAATCAATTGAATTTTAAAACTCTATTTTAATTTCAAAGCGTCAATTTAAAGTCAAAGTTAAAACTAAAAATACATCCAGCCATTTTATCATAAATCGCTTTTCTAAACTATTTTCATATCTCTTCAACTTTCTTCTATATTTTTTGTAAATAATGTAAACCCTACCCTCCCCTTTCCCCTGTGCCTTCTACAGTATATCATATTAATTATTTATAAGAATATAATGAAAATTTAAAATTCCTGGAAAAATTTCTGTTTGAAAATTATAATGAACAGTTAACCAAACAAGCCAATACAAAAATGTTTATTTAAAGGGAGTGTTCACAAAAACTAAAAAATTATCAATTTAAAATAGATTATGAATAAAATCCAGTCACTTTACAGAAACATAAGATAGAAATAATATCAATTTATTCATAATCTTGATATGGTTTAACCTGAAGGGTCTGCATGAACGTATTTCAAGTAGCCCCGCCATTCAAAAAAATGAAGGTTGGGATATCCGATTCCCAATCCCACTGGAGCTCCTTCAAGCATTACATGATTGAGAATCCATATAATGGTAATTTTCAATATGTAAAAAATTTCTTGCTATGGAAATAATGAAGGAAATTGCAGGAATTAAACACTTCTAAAGCTAAACAAATGACGATATTTTCAAATTATTCATCAGATAAATATTTAAAGGACTTCTTTTAATGAAGGGTTACTTGAAATCACAATGACAGACCCAGTTTAAACCCCTTAGATTGATTTTTCTTTAATCTAAATAAATTTAGTCGATTTTGTAACCAGAGTTTCCAATTTTCTACCGAAAACATTGAAAGTATGTAATTTATCCTTTCTACTTTATTAATACATTTGTTGTTGTTGTAAACAAGTCTGAATAAGTTTTCACGGATTAGAAGAGAGAGTGAAATACAGAGAGATCCACGAACAATGAGACATTAATAATGACCTATAAAAAACTATTTAGATCTGACAAACTAAAAGGCAAAAGTATTTAAAAACTACAGGGTGTCCCACGAAACATGGCAGTTGGTAAATAGTTTAGAATGTCTTCTTCCATAATTCCGTAAAAACGATAAGCGACCGTTTTTCATTCGATTATTTTTTTTAACTATCGTCATTTGAGTTTTAGACATTTCTGAAGACAATTCTGAATGTCGTCTTACATGCAATTGTATCGAAATTCGTCTTATACTCCGTTTTTAAATGCATATAAATTTGGATCGTAGAGAATAAATCCCTAAAAGCTAAAACTGATTGATATTTTCTTAAAAACTACTCAATAATAAGCACCGATGCCCTTCAGATCGGTTTCCTCTCTTTGTTAACGATTTTTAACGATGTGTCGTCGTAAACGATCGTTAGTGAAGGGTCGTCGTTAACGATAGGTAACGACGTGCTTTATAAAAACGGTCGTTTAAAAAAAAATGAAAACAACCCATCCCTAGATGTAGAGAGACAAATATAAGTTGTCTCTACAGACTACCAAAGTGATTAAATACTAAAGTGGGCTGAACTCATGAGTTGGATGACAACATTTTATGTCCCAAGTAATTTAGAATAATATTGCATGGCCCTTATAATCTGTTTGTACTGAAGCCTGGTTCTAGAGAGCTATAATAACAGTCTTAACAAATCCTGCTTGGTGGTATTAAGGGTAGATCATCTACTGAGTGTACAATACATAAGTTAACTGGACTTGTTTACTAACTTTACTCTATAAGCACTAACGTGAAATTACAAAACACAAACCAAACCAAATAATTCCATACTAGTCGTCTTTATTTTGTCTGTTCCACTTTAGTATTTATTTACTTTGACAGACTGCACTGTATTTCCGGGTCTCAAAAGTGACATTCTCCTTTACCTGTTATGTCTTATCAAGGCAGTTTAGCTTAATCGTTTAATGATTTAATAACAGTCCCTTTAAATCACTGCACAATCATAAATGTAAATGAAATAATTGTTTAAGAAATAAGCCTTATAGTTATAAACATCTCTAATCTACAGACTCCGCAGAACCTCAAAAATATTTGAATGGGAAGACGACCTTTTACCAATGTTATCAGTGGCTTAATTGAAAATCAACTTAGATTATGGGGCAGTGAATGCTGCACAATTCCAGTGTTTTGTTCGAATAATCTAAAAGTCGTCCTCTTTTTCCACATTTTCGTGGTCTCCCTTAACTATCCTGAATTCCCCGCGAATAATAGAATTTAAGACACCAAATGAAAACATCTTATAAATATAAATTTTATTGATAAGATAAATATTATATATATATATATTACAAATATTTTCAACCTAAAACATGAACCATGCCAACTGAAGTTATGATTTCAAGTAGTCAAATAAACATGAAACCCAGCAATTGTGTTTATTCACAGACCCTTTCCACTTAATAAGTTGATTTTTTGCATTAAGTAAATCATTTGCTTTTAAACAGAAAATGCATATATAAAATTTCTTAATGTCGTCTTCCTTTTCCAGAGTTTTATTGGGTTTCATCAAACAATGGCAATTCAAAAACCTTTAATGTCCAAGAAACATTAAGATTTGAATTTTTACTAATAGCATATTATAAAAAAAACTCCTTTACACTTTAGAAAGGAACTAAGTTTTTTTTTCAAATTTACTTATCCCTATATCTTTCCAACCCGATGGTTTAAACCTTGTATATTTCAATATTAATGGTCTACGACACCGGGTTGCAAAGATAAATTAGAGTTTTTGGCATAAACTCATTTTATTTAAACTTGAAATGAAAAACGATAAGTCTTTGCTTTTATAATCATCAGTCGAATCTCTTACATTAATATATTAGAGACGTTTTGAAATGTTTTGATTGACAAAATTATTGTTACACTTTTAAAATTAAAACTCAGCCCTCATAGTCTAAACTTTTATGAACAACATTTTCATCAGACATAAATCTAACGTTAGACTAATCAATTTAGTATTCAGAGAAAAGTTATGAAACGTTTTGATTTACAGAATTACATTTTTTGAATATTATATTATACGTTACATTATTGAAATTTTACTCTGTAAAAAAATTTTCGTTTCCTGATTATTAAAATAATAACCCATTTCTGCAACGTTGAATTTTTCATTATACTATAAGGGAAAACGTTTCACAACGTTTTCATAAACAGTAATGCATTTTTCAGTTATACAACGTTACACTTTTTATAAGTTGAACTTTGAAATAGAACTCCTTTCGAGTTTTGTTACGATATTCAATCAAATCACAATTCATTTTTCAAACGTTAGACTTTCAAGCTCCCCTGGGAAACAAAACATTTCTTTACGTTATGGTCAAACAAATTGTAGATATTAGAAAAATAACGTTATATTTCCACAAAACGCTAACGTTGGGCGCAGGCCCGTAACCAGGGGGGGTGCAAGGGTGCAGGTGCAACCCCCTTTCTTCTGAAAGGGGGTGCAATGACGAATTTTCACCCTCCCCCAGTCCCATATAAAAGAAATTGTTTCTCATAATTTTCTAAAATCTAGTAACCAATAATATAGCTCAAGCAAGAGTTGATTCCCTTCCCAAACCAAATTATAATCTTATTGTGTGTTACTCATTAAAAGTGGGTGTGTGTGTTTGTCATTTTTAGTCAAAAGTAGAAGGGTTTTTTTGATTACTCAAAAATTCACTAAGAATGTCTCAATGTCTCAATTGTCAATAAATAAACTCTTTTAAACAAATATTAGAAATTTTATTTTTTATTAATCTTCATAATATCATGATGAGACAGAGGGACAAGAAGCCTTGATTTTAAATAATGAATTTTTTCCTTAAGCTAAAGTACCATTCATTTATTTTTTTATGTATATTGTATATGTAAACTGAAAAATTTCAGACACTAAAATGTAACCCTTAAAAGCTTAAATACACTTGTTAAAAAGGTTAGTCTTTATAACGTACATTGACAAAATAATAAAGAAAACCATATACCACCGTAAAAACAAACCAAGCATTTCTTTAAAAAAAAAAAAAAAATGTTTTCCCTGCGGCTCGCTTCCTGGAAAAATCCTGGTTACGGGCCTGGTTGGGCGTATGTTCCTCTAATGTTAACGTTTAACGTTAACGTTAGGTAAGAGCTCCTATAACGTTAACGTTTAACGTTCACGTTATATAGAATATATCCAAACGTTACATATTATTGTAACGTAACGTACAAAAACGTACATTTTACGTTATATTACACTATCGTTGACATCACTATTACAGACTATAAAGAAACAGTTTTTGTAAGATCAATTTATTATAAACATTACAAATATTACAAAGGTATATCATATACAGCTATTACGAGATTGACTAAAGACAGATCGATCTATTGAAAACTCTGTTAGAATTGGGTTTATTGTGGTGTATTTTTCGACCTACACAAATCCGCTATATTCCACTTCTGACCTACGCCAAATCCGCTATACTACACATCCGACCTAGTACCACGTGGTTTTACAGCTGCTATGTGGACTTGTGGCCGCAGCGGCGCCCGGCCCCCTAGCCTGTTCTAGCCACGGCGATCGGCCCCCTAGCCTGTCCTAGCCGCAGCGCTCGGCCAAGAAATTGTCTTAACATAACCTAACCCTCAAATAATACAAAAATAAACAGCTGGCGTAGGTCCGATATTGTAGTAGGTCGGAAAGTTAGTAGGTAGGAAGTTCAGTAGGGGGGAATAGCAATTTCTCTGTGCCACCAAATACTTACGCTCGGTAAAGTAATATTTTAAGGAAAACCTAAAGAGTTTTTAAGCCCAGGGGCGTAATTAAAAAATAAAAAGTAGGGTTGTAACCCTAAACTAAATTTTTTAAAGGATTATGAACCCTTTAGAGCCATTGAATGGGATATTGAGCTATAATCATTTGTTTTAGGTCTGATTTGTTATAGGTCTGAAAGCGAATTTAATGAATTTTTAGAAAAAATCACAACACTGCTGACATCATTTCTGACAAAATATCTGACAACATTTTTGACAACATTTCTGACAACATTTCTGATACCGTTTCTGACAACATTACTGACAACATTTCTGATAACATTTCTGATAACATTTCTGACAACATTTCTGACAACATTTCTGATAACGTTTCTGACAACATTTCTGATAACATTTCTGACAACATTTCTGACAACATTTCTGACACCATTTCTGACAACATTTCTGACAACATTTCTGATAACATTTCTGACAAAATTTCTGACAACATTTCTGACATCATTTCTGACAACATTTCTGACAACATTTCTGACAACATTTTTGACATAATTTCTGAGAATATTTCTAACAATCATTAGAGGTATACGGGATGACCTTATTGTTTTATTACTTTCAATGAAAAGTGATAATTAGCATAAAAAGTTCAACTCTTAAACATATTTCTTGTCATTCATTTTAAATCCCGTATTTGGAAAAATATATTATCTTTGAGAAATACAAATACAATACATATATATAATAATATAAACAGTGAATCCCAGATGTATGAAAACATAGACCGTCAGAAGTTTTTTGATAATTCTAAAGAAACTTCTTTTTATTTTTAATTCAAGGTAGATTAATAGCCCTGAAATATGAATGCAATTAATATATTAATATTAAACTCATTTTTTCCGCGGCATTTGATCTTAAATATGTAATAAGACATAAAAACTCTTGCTATGTATTCATATATCTGGGATTCACTGTATATACTTTACTTGTCTGTCTGTCTGTTTGTTTGTTCGTATCCAATAAACGTCAAAACGGCGGAACCTATCGGGTCGAAATTTTGTGTGGGACTTCACATTTCCCCAGAGAAGGTTTGTAGGACCGCAGAACCAACATTTTTAACAAACATTAAGTGTTATGCATTTTGTCACTTTGTGGGTGGAATGTAAACACTGCAGTAAAGTGTTTGGACAGTTTTAGAGTTCCGAAACATTTAGTTTAAAATATTGATTTCTGCCACATGTATTTTTTTTGGCTTCGAAATAACCTTCCTAATATTTTTGTTTTTGGCGTGAGATCCAACATGGCTGAATATTGTTGGATCAGCTGATACTGAACTAATATGGCTGGTAATCAGTGAATCAGTGGATAAAGAAGCAAGATAGTCGCAGGCAGTTGTTGAACCATTAGCTGGAGAGCCAAGAGTATAGACAGTTGTTAGACCAAGGTTGGTAACTTTAATTGATCTCGACGCAGCAGCTCCAAGAAAGCTGACAGCAGCTGAATCAGCATCAGCTGATTGAGGATCAGCTGATTTAGGAACTCTGTACACCACATCGGGAGCCCGAGTACTAGGAAGAACAGGTTTCACCGAAGCTTTCCTCTTTATACACCACACTTTCCTAAACATATTTTGAAAGATTTTGACGTTCGTAGAATTTAAGGTTCTTTTTTAAACCGTGAATTAATTACAAAAATAGTTTGTTATCTAATGATATAATTGTTAAACTAATTGCCGAAAACTTTTGCTTTATTGATTAATAGAAATTTTTCGGGCGCTTTTCATAGATAGATAAATAAAGTGGCGCTTACCAGTTTCGAAGAGATATTTCCGAAGCTTCTTTCTTTGATTTCATTTTTCGTTCCAGAAATTTCCTATTTTAGAATAATTAATTTTCCGGGAAAGCTTATCACAAGTATCATTCCATGGTAATTATGAAATTACATAAGAAAAAAAGAATTCCCGAAAAAAATAGAAAAAGTATTGTTGTTAAAAATATATTTTTGTTGTTGACCTGACGGGCTTCTTGATGAACATGAAGAGATGGTAAAGCAGTAAACTGTTGAAAACACTGAAGGATATTAGTATCTTCCTATCACTGTCCTACAAAAAATGTATTTTTAAATTATTTTAATGTATTCTTTTCACACCCTAACGTTAAAAAAGTTTAATTACGGTTTCTCTAGCGAGTTACAAACTGACAAGCAGCACAATATTACCCAAATACCAGTTTAAAGGGTACCATTATAAATCGGGCGTGCAGCGTCAATTGAAAAAAACGTGAACAGTCCCTTTAACTGTCCCATTACCGGATTTTTCATTACAACAAGTACCTTGTTTTCATTCTTTGTGAGTACGACTGCAATATGTAGACTGCAGGGCACTGATATCAACAGGAATATCTTCATCAAGGATTTGAAGGAAACCAGACCCCTTCAAAAGTTTTGTATCATAAATCTTAGGAGCAAAATTATGTTAGCTTCAAAATTTCAAAGTATGGATGTTTAAAACTCGTTTTGCTACCCCGGGAAACCCACATGCACGTAAAGGATGAGAGACGTTAACGACAACCAAAAACTTCTTAGACTCGATCTAAAGATTAAATAGGGGTTTCTGCTAAATGTTTTGTCTTTGATAATTATTAAATGATTTCTCAATGCTAGTGCAAGGAACATTTAATATAAAAATATACTTTTTGCTTGTCTGTTTGTCCGTTTTTGTCCAATAAATGTCATTAAATTTTGAAAATCCACGACATCTTTTATAAAATCCACAGAATTGTCACAATTTAAATATAAAATAGGCGGGAAGCGCCCTATAAGCCTAGTATAATATAAAAGACACAATTTGACCTTCAAGCTACTGGTAAAAATGATCTCTGTATTATTACGCATCCATTATCTAAATCTACTCTTCCAAGTCCACAATTTTATGGATTTTACAAAAATATAAATTTTTTAATAGAAAATTTAAAGATTTCTAGATTTACACATCTTTTACTTTAAAGAAAAGAATGATATTAAAAAATGATTACTTAGGGGTTGAATTTTGCTCTCCAATGAATATTGAAGGCTGTAGAACCTGTTTTCTGAAAGTAGATTATCAGTAGTGTTGCTAATTTTTTGAATTATTAATACTTTAAATATTTCAAAACTATATTATGTAAAGATTGCTTTTGTTAAACTTTGCAATATATTTATCCAAAAAAATAATAAGTAAAGAACTATCTAAAAACGGACGCGTTCACTTCTGCATCTTTTTGAGTCTTTTTTTGCAAATAGCTTCTACCAGGATCATAGTTTGGCACAGTGCAAAAAAAGAAATTATCTTCTACAAACCTAAATCTTAACCCGGAAAGAAATTATAAAGAAAAAAACGAACCAATGAAGTAACATTACCAATTATAGCAAATAAATATTTTAATTTAATTTATTTTAAATTCTTTTTTATTTCAGGTTAAACATGTAACTTTATAGAGACTTTATGTGATTTCATGGGACTTTCACTTATTTGGTATTAGTCTTAATTTTCAAAGACAACTGTGGCCTGAGTAAACGCCGATTTATCATTCAGAATTTCAGCGCTAAGGTATGATTGTTGTCGCAAAGGAACAAGATTCTGACGATGAACAGATAGACAAGGTATAATCCACGAATCAAAATCGATAATGCAGAAAACTCTTTATTTCCTAAAAAAATAACGAAATGAATAATGATAAATAATTATTAAGTCATAGTCATGGATTTCTTAAAGTTTTTAAAGAAATATTAAATAGAATTTTAGTATTTAATAGTAAATTGTAGATATCTTTAATCTTTTTCTTCAAAATAATTTTTTAACTGTCTTTTTTTAAAATACAACTTATTTTAAACATTTGACGGTTTGATACGTTTTCTGTACTTCCCCAGAAAAGTTGGAATCTAGAAACCGGTTTGTCTCCAGTCATAGATATCTTTGAAAAGTAAGCCTAATACCAATGAATAGTTAATCGGCTAATTAGTTTAACATGAAATTACCAAAATAAGTGAACGGTCCTTTTAGAGAAGAATTAATTAAATAAAATTTTTATAATTTATTTTTGTTCTGATCACTAGGACTCGATCGGGTCAAAACTCAACCGTTATTTTTGCTGATTGGATTAAAAACAAAAATAAACCAACAGAAAAATGTCCAAAGTCAATTCCTAATTGCGAACATTTAATTCGAAGTTACGAATAGGATGTATGATATTTTTAACATTCGTCGAGTTTATTTTTTTATCGTTTTGGAGTTGTGGTATCCCACTCCTACTATCGTTCTGTTCCAGATTTAGATAAAAATCGTTATTTTTAGAGAGATCAATGTTTTTAATGGACCCTTTCTATATAAATATTAGAGAGATTAATGTGTCTGATCCTTTGATAAAATATTAGAGATATTAATGTGTCTAATAGATCCATTGATAAAATATTATAGAAATTAATGTGTCTAATGGACCCTTTGATAAAATATTAGAGAGATTAATGTTTCCAATGATAGAATAGATTTATGCTCTTACTTTAGAAACCACCTGGTGGTTAGAACAGCAGCAAAGCTAAAGACTGAAAAATAAAATATCTGAAAATATAATATGTTAAAGTTGAAAGACATAATATGTTAAAGTTGTAAAATATAATATGTTAAAGTTGTAAAATATAATATGTTAAAGTTGTAAAATATAATATGTTAAAGTTGTACAATATAATATGTTAAAGTTGGAAAGTATAATATGTTAAAGTTGGAAAATATAATATGTTAAAGTTGGAAAATATAATATGTTAAAGTTGAAAANGCAGGATAAAGAATCAGCTGTATTCCATCTAGCTTGTTGATATCCTGATGAAGATTTAGTTTCATTTATGCAATTTTAAAAACCCGTCATGAAATTTAAAAATTAACTGCTAGAAAACAGAATTAATGCAAAATAGAGTAAATATTCTTTTTATTATGAAAGATGTTTTTTTTTTTCTCTGAAATCTAACTGCACAAAGACCGAGACTCAAAAAACGACTGAAGGGAAATTAAACTTTCATTTGTTTAACATTTATGGAGCTGTTAACTTCGATGTTAAAATAGGTTAACGGGGTTTTCCGATCGTTAAAAAGACTGTTCTGTTATTTGGGTATTTTCAGTTTTAACTAAAAGTCTTACTTTTCAATGACAACTGGGGCCAGGGGTAAAAAGTCGATTTATCGCTCAGAATTTCGGATCAAATATGCAATCTAATTGATAAAACAGTTAAATTTTTTTATCATAAGTTTTTAAACATCCCTGGCTATGACAAAAAAGATCAAATAGTGGCTACACAAAGGTGCCGCACCTTAGTTTTGAGATGGAATTCTGAACGATAAATCCACTTTTTCTACAGACACAGTTATCTTTGATAAGTATGACTAATAACAAAGAATAGCTAATAGACGTTTACTTTACCTTTTAAATACCAAAATAAGTGAACCTTCCCTTAACTTTTGTTGGCTTTTAATGTTCATAGATAAAATAGACACTAAAATTTGTTTAAGGAAAATAGGATGAATCACTCTGGGCTGCAGTAAATTTGAATTCGAACAGGACCTGCCCAGTTTGTACCGGCCTGCCAGATAACAACCGTGTACTGACCCGATCCTATGGTACAGTACGTCGCCCTCTAACCAGACTAGCATACGACAGGGGTCAATTTTCTTGGCATAGCCCCGTCGGAGGGCTAACTATGATAACTCCCAAGGCGCGTTGAGACTTTTTACAGTACCTGGCCTAACCCTAGCTAGGCCTATTTGACCGACCCCACTGGCTTAGTCCACCGTGGAATGTGATATGAAAATAAATTATTATTTATATCATTATTTCTTTCCTTAACATTTGGTAATGGACATTTATATCAAAGGTTGTTTTTTTGGGGTGACTCTGCGAGTTTAAAAAATATCCCTTACTTGTTTTATATCCATGGCAAAGGCTTCAATGTTCCCAGTAATTTCTCCTAAAAATTTCAAATTATTATAGTCAACAATAATAAAAAGTTTTTTTTCAATTTAATCTAATACAAAATTTACATTTAATTAGAAAATTTTTTAAGTTCGTAAATAAAATTTGAAAAAATATTTTTCAACTTTACACACTTTCAAAAGAAATTGCAAAATGTTCTTAACTTGTTGACCTATCAAAAGTAACTAAGATAGACATAGATAAGACATTTCGAACATTGTCGACATTTAGTACAAAATGCGAAATCCACTTAATCTTCCTATTGCTCGACTATGGCAAAACCAATAAATCAGAATGGCGCACTACTCGCTGCCTATGGCAGGCGTTTTTTTAACATAACTCAAGCGTAATGAATAGTTTCGATGAAGAATTATCTTTTATTATCTAATTGGTGCACTTTAACCTTAATCAGGATCAAATATATAAAACTGTTTCCAGATCAGCGCTTGATCGATTTTTAATAGAAAAATAGTGAATGTGACAATAACCAATCTCTATTGGTTCTGAATATAGTCACCAAGTGACTGGTGACCTGGTTGAATTGGACGGGACGATACCGGACACTTGAAACAAGACAAATGTTCGGACCAGAGCTGGGTACTATTGTGTTAAATACTCATAATCTTGATCGTATGATCTCGATATCCAGTGTAGGAATTTTTACTCTTCATTCAATAATTCCATCATGGTACAATTACACTGTGGGATGTCAAATAAAGATTAACAAAAGATCAATCTCAAACATCTCGATATCCACAATATTCCACCAATTTACCTGCTTTTAGTTTGAGAGCAAGGTTGACCGTCCAGGGTGTTCCCACAACTCCTAATATTAGGATGAGAGCTGCCCTGGTGAACCGAGTAGGATCATAGGGAAACATACTGTTCTTCCACTAAAATATAATACATACATTGATAACTAATACCACTATTATTTCCATAGAAGAGGCTGCAGGTTTATTTGGTGTACCGTCCCATTTTGCCTGGTATAATCTGTATGTGTACTGTACAGCTCGATCTAGCAGGTTAGATGTCGGCCCGGTGTCAGTCATGATGCGTACTCTTGCATAGGGCGGACTCCCCCTAAAGTTTTAACCATTTAAACGCAATATTAGACATAATTAAAGCAATGTTATGACATTTTCGGATATTTATTAATATATTTTGATTTGAAAAACACATTCTTAAAATTATCTATGTTTAATTCGAGTTTGATGATTTAAAAGGAAGACGACATTCGAGAGGAAATAACCTTTTTTGCCTTTACCCCCCATAAAATACATTTAAATTGACAAATTTGACTGAGTATTGCATCTTGAAATTTCACAAAGTTGGTTAATGAGTGATTTTAAGATGGATTTAGTATAATGAGTCAGTAATTGAATAATCATTAGACTTTGTGATATTTCAAGATGCAATACTTAGTCAAATTTGTCAAAAATTTCATTGTAAAACAGTTTAAGAATCACACTTTAAAGGCCCTAAATATACCATTTTAAAAAGTAGTTTTGCCCGGAAGAGAAAAAGCTAATATGTGGCACGGAAGGGGAAATAGTGGTGGCTCATGGCCGCCTGCCTTCCCCCGCTCGCAGAACACCGGTTCTGAAAATGAACCGGACTTAAAAGTGATATTTAGTTACTATAGAAATAAAAAGAAATTGTGGAATTATTGGAAACATCGTTGATTAAGTTCTGTTCTTTCAATCAAGACACATGGATACCAAAAAAGGTGAATTCGACTTCAAAGTTTTTAAATATGACTATCCGTAGAGTAGGTGAAATTAAGTTTTCTGTTTTTACTGTAATTATAAACTGACTATTTAATGATTTTTATAAAAAAAGAAATAAGTTGATAGTTGAAGGAAATCATGTAGATTGTAGATTTATAAGAAAAACAGACAGTGTCATATATCTCTAATAATAATTCCATAGTTAAAAATTCTGTGAAAAAATTGTCGATTTGATTCTTTTCTTTTAATCTAGATAAAACTTTTAATTTGTAGTTATATTTGTTCAGTCTCTAAAGCTAGATGTTCAGAGTAAGTTTTTAAAAATTAATCAGTTAAAAATTACAAAAAATCCATATTAATATTTCATAAAACTATAAGACTACATCTTTCCACTGTAATCATTTAATAAAATGTAGGATTTAATAATCAAATCAAAAGGTTTTCTAGAAAATAAATCTTTTTGCTTAAATCTTACCCTGAAGACTAGGAGCAGTCTTATTGTGCAATTCACAATTTGTAGACCAACATAGATGAAGCTAACATACATCACCCCCTCCCTGAAATATACAGGGTGTCCCAATATTATTATACACAGGGTGTCTCAATACACATGATCCCCTCCCTGAAATATACAGGGTGTCCGAATATCATTATACACAGGGTGTCTCAATAAACATGATCCCCTCCCTCAAATATACCGGGTGTCCCAATAAACATGATCACCTCCCTGAAATATACAGGGTGTCCCAATAAACATGATCCCCTCCCTGAAATATACAGGATGTCCCAATAAACATGATCCCCTCCTTGAAATATACAGGGTGTCCCAATAAACATGATCCCCTCCCTGAAATACACAAGGTGTCTAAATAAACATGATCCCTTCCCTGAAATATACAGGGTGTCTCAATAAACATGATCCCCTCCCTGAAATACACAAGGTGTCTAAATAAACATGATCCCTTCCCTGAAATATACAGGGTGTCTCAATAAACATGATCCCCTCCCTGAAATACACAAGGTGTCTAAATAAACATGATCCCTTCCCTGAAATATACAGGGTGTCTCAATAAACATGATCCCCTCCCTGAAATACACAAGGTGTCTAAATAAACATGATCCCTTCCCTGAAATATACAGGGTGTCTCAATAAACATGATCCCCTCCCTGAAATATACAGGGTGTCTAAATAAACATGATCCACTCCCTGAAATATACAGGGTGTCTAAATAAACATGATCCACTCCCTGAAATATACAAGGTGTCTAAATAAACATGATCCACTCCCTGAAATATACAGGGTGTCTCAATGACATGATCCCCTCCCTTAAATATACAGGGTGTCCCAATAAACATGATCTCCTCCCTGAAATATACAATGTGTCTAAATAAACATGACCCCTTCCCTAAAATATACAAGGTGTCTCAAAAAACATGATCCCCTCCCTGAAATATACAAGGTGTTTCAATAAACATGATTCACTCCCTGAAATATACAGGGTGTCCTAATAAACATGGTCTCCACCCTGAAATATACAGATTGTGCCAATAAAAAGGATCCCCTCCCTGAAATATACAGGGTGTCTCAATAAGCATGGTCGCCTCCTTAAAATAAAAGGGTGTCCTATTAAACATAAAACCCTTTTCTGTAATATACAGGGTGACCAAATAAACATAATCCCCTTCCTGAAATATACACTTTGTCCCAATGAATATGATTCTCTCTCTGAAATATACATTCAGGGTGTCCCAAAAAGCATTATCCTCCCCCTGAAATGTACCGGGTGTCCCATTAAACATCATCCTCTCCCTGAAGGCGATTAATGGGTTTATCAAAATAAGTTGTTTGACAAATTTGTAAATATCTAATTTTATTATTAAAACCTGAAGAGGACGGTTGGAATATAAGAGAGAGGTCCTATCCCTGTTCTCCACAAGATGGGCAAGTTCTAAAAAAGATATTTTTATTTGGTATTTAGCTGCTCAGAAATATCCAACAGATCACATCTTTAAAATAGAATTAAAGCACACCTTTTAAATTTAGGTCAATTATCATAAAATGAGTTTGATTCGTTTGCAGGACAAATAACAACTCTTCTAGCAACAGTTTTAAGGCAATAAAATGTGTTTTTCAAGCCGCCACTTCTTTTGGGTTTTCTTCGATATTGTAAAAGTCAACATTTCGCAGATCTTTGCTGAATATTTGAGGGATTTATAAAAATAATAAATGTCGACATTTTAAAGAGTTTTTTCTCAATGTTCGCGTTTTTAAAGGGGGTGTTCGCGAAAAATGAAAGGGGTATAGGCTTACGGCGCTTATTGTGAAATATTAACTATATACGAATGCATCGAAAAATAATCGATGAATATAGGTTTTAATATCTAAATGATTTGTTTGAAACTAAATTGATTTTTTTGCGATCTGAGTCGTATACTGCAACTTTCTGAATTTTTATGGATGCTAAGTACTTCGGTATGAGTCGTTTTTAACAGTTTTCTCCTTATAGGCGCAAAAGATAGAAGTAAAACTATAGTAGCAATCAAAAGCGCTTATTCTTTGCCGTAAGCCTATACCCCCTTGCCATTTTTCGCGAACACTCCCTTTAAACCTCTCTTGGATTTTGTGAATTGACAACTGATTTAGCCGTCTTCACGTGTATTGCAAAAAAAGACAGACAGACAGAGAGACATACAGACAAGCCAAAATACTAATGAAAAATTAAATTACAAAATACTTTGAGACTTTTCATAATTGAAGAAATTGAAGAATCACGCGACATCAAGAATTCAACTTTTTATTGTATTCATTAGAAAAAACGATCTACAGTGAAACCAAATAACATTGGCATAAGAAGACGATATTAGGGCAAAACTCAGGTGTATTTGATGTTGTTAAAAATCAAATAGTTTCAGTAGCAAATTATTATTTCATTTATTAAGTGAAATGGGTCTGTTTACACTGCACACTTGATGTGTTTCTTGTTTGTTATACTATTTAATCATAATTTGAGTAATAAAGTCGTTTTCCTATTCCAGAGTTATATGGTTATCACTCTACTTACTACGAAGTTGATGAACAGATTGATACTGTGAATCAGGGCAATGTTTATAGTCATCAGAACGTGTCTAAACAAATCATGAAAAATTTAGTTGATGCCGCTTTTTCAGTGTGTCCCAAGGAGTATGGAAAAGAAGGGAGATACAACTGACGCGGCCCACCCTACCATATGAGCACTTCATTTGAATAAGAAATATTTGTCTGATGTACAATAACCTATTCTGAATATTTCTTATACAAATGATGCACCATCTGCAAAGCATGTATAATCATATGGTAGGGTGGGCCGCGTCAGTTGTGTCGTATCAATCCATTAAAGTTCTACTTTGTTAGGCAACTTTTTAAATTCTTACCAGATATAAACCTTCCCTCGGGTCATACTAGGTCCCACAAAATTTGTTGGCCCCTTCGGTTCAGCCGTTTTAACGTTTATTGGATACAAGAGACGATTGTACGGAATTCGTTTATTCCGTTTTCTTACTTTCAAACTTCCTTGTGGGCCAAAACTGACATACTTTTGTGCTTAATCATTTAGTTGACAATCAAAATACTCAATTGAATGTAGAAATCAAAAATATAGCTTCGATCAAATCGTCCTATTTTTAGAGTTTTAGGTCTCATTCTTTGTGGGTTAGACCCTTAATATTAAATACATCGAAAGAATTCATCAAATGTCGTATTCTTCACTTTCTGATAGTGGAATGTTCCAGATATTTAGTTTTTAATTAAATGATTACATGGAACTCTTTAAAACTGTTCCCGCATATTCATGACTATTTATTTATTTTCGCAAATACGGAAATTTACGAAATATAGTATAAAACTCATTGAAAAATTGTCAAGACGACATTTGATAAATTCTTCCGATGTATTCGTTATTAAGGGTTTCACTGTAGCTTCGATCAAATCGGCCTAATTTTAGAGTTTTGGGTCTCATTCTTTGTGGGTAACCCAATACAGTCAGACACTTAAATCGAAAGAATTTATCAAATGTCGTATTCTTCACTTTCTGATAATGGAATGTTGCGTTTTAATTAAATGATTATGGAGCATTTTAACAGATAAAGCCCCAATTAAAAGTTGAAATAGAAGATTAAAAGCCTTGTAAATTAAAAGTTAAAATGCATTTTTGAATTATAAAGAAAAAAAAGGATCATTTCATGTTCCGGTCTTGATTTTTTAAAGGATGAATATACGTGGAATTATGAAGAAAGTTATTTGGATTGTGAGAGAAAAAACTGTTTATGATACAGTGAAACCGTTAATAACGAATACATCGAAAGAACTTATCAAATGTCGTATTCTTCACTTTCTGATAATGGAATGTTGCGGATATTTAGTTTTTAATTAAATGATTATGGAGCATTTTAAAACTGTTCCCGCATGGCTATTTGTTTATTTTCGAAAATACTGAGATTTACGTAAAATATTGAAAAGTTGTGAATACAACATTTCATAAATTCGTTTGATGTATTTGATATTTAGGGTTTAACTGTATACAGATTGTACAGGGTGTCCCACGAAACATGACAGTATGCAGGACGACTTGAATGTCGTCTTGATTTTTGATATAATTTGCTGCGTTTATTTGTCAACCTAATCTTAACTGTAAATTTCTAGAGATGATGAATCACAAAATTCCCCTAGTCCTGCCATTTCCAAAATGTGGTCTGCCTTTTTTGTGCTTTCAATATTGCCCGAGATATGAAGAATTTCGTTCAGATTTCGACAAGTTTGCTTTTATTTAACAAAATTGAAATCTGAACCAAACTCGTTATATCTCCGGTAATATTGAAAGCACAGAAAACGCAGACCACTTTTTGGAAATGCCAGGGCTAGGAGAATTATGTGATAATTGTTTCAAGAATCATACATGTTAAAGTAGATAGAAGACTAAATGTCAAAAATAAATTCAAATATCAAAGACGACTTTCAAGTCGTCTTGCTATTGTCATGTTTCGTGGGACACCCTGTATATACCTTTGTGCTGGAGGCTGTGCTTTGAAGTACTGGAAATAATGTAAAAATATGTTTATTTACAAACGTTTACACTTTTTAAAAATAAAAAAGCTCTATAGTTTATATAAATGTTTATTCCAATTAAAGATATGAACAAATATAATTTTTCAACCCGATTGGTGAATTCGTTTCAATAAATAGTTTTTGGTTAATATCTTTTACTGAATTTTTTTTTTGCATAATGTAATAAAATTTGATTTCTAATAAAAATTAAAAGATATAATTTGTAAAAGCTTCGCGCATTAAATTATCATGAAATAAAATAAAATCAGACTTGTTGTAGGAACGTCATATATTTTCATACTCCAGTCCCAAAGTCAATTTACAAAGAAAGAACTGAGCTTTTTTATTTTTAATATGTTATATATAATTTGTAATTTTATTCGGAGCAATAAAAAAATAATCATTTATGTTAATATAATAAGTTTGGTTCTGAAAAATCAAGTTCTATGAAAGATAAAAAATATTTGCAAGCGAACCATGCCTCTGTTGAAAAAGAAACATGACTAAGGCCAGAACCCTTATTTCGTGGTATGTCCTGTTCAAAACGGTACTTCTTGTGGATTTAAGGATACAATTAGGATATTCTTATCATTCTTACTGAAAATATTGGGTTTACTGAAACGAGACATTGCGGGGTTATGCGCGCTCAGAGACACTGAAGGAAGTCGTCAAAACTTAAAGTTGGTTTGTTTCCTTGGTATTCACTGAAATGTAATTCATGGTGAATATATTTACATAAGGAGAGGTAAAATTTACGCGACAATAATGGTACAAATTTGTGACTTTGCAACTTTTCTAGGTTGGAAAACAAGAATTTGAGTCTTTGCCACAAACTCTGATTTTCTAATATCTTTGCAACCCAAGTCGCAAACGAACAAAGAATTTTGTTAAAAAAATTTAGAATTGAAATATTAAAGGTTTACACAATGAGGTTGCTAAAAAAAGGGATTAGAAGATTAGAGTTTCTGGCAAAGACCCAAATCCTTTCTTTGGTTACATACATGAAAATCAAAAAAATTGCGTTCTTCTCTAATAGCTATTCAATGAGAGGAGTTAAGATTGAAAAATTTTAAATTATACTTTAGTTTAGTTTGACGCGAATAAAATAAATATTTTATAACATCCTTGTGGAGAATGAAGGTGAAGAGATTAGAGAGAGAAGTGAAAACTTAAAAATTTTTTTTTTAATAGTTAACATATCAATATAATAGATATAATTATAATAAATCCTTGATATTTGGTTCGTAATACCGAAAATACACTAAAAGTCTAAAAACGACGACTTTGTAGGTCGAATGTTAGGGTAGGTTAAGTCCATGGGACCAGTGCTGCGGCTGGTCAGGTTAGGGGTTCGAGCGCGGCGGCCCCATTATCAAAGTGACAAAGTGACAGCCGATATGTAAGGTTAGGTTAGGACAAATTCTAGGCCGAGCGCTGCGGCTAGGACAAGCTAGGGGGCCGAGCGCTGCGGCCACATTTATCAAATTGACAAAGTGATAGCCGATCTGTGGGGTTAGGTTAGGTTGTTCTAGCTGCAGCATTCAGCCCAGAAATTGTCTTAACCTAACCTAACCTTTAGCCAAACCTCAAAGATCACTTTGCCAATTTGATATACGTAGCCGCAGCGCTTGGCCCTCTAGCCTGTCCTATCCGCAGCACTCGGCTCAGAAATTGTCCTAACCTAACCTTACATATCGGCTGTCCCTTTGTCAATTTGATAATGTGACCCACAAAAAGTGTGCATCTGACCTACAAATTTGTGTGCAATGGAAACAGACAGATCCTTATGGTAGCATTGTCAACTACGTTGACAAGATTTGCAGTTCTTGCGTAGGTCGGATTAACAAAATCGAATGTACATCCGACCTACAACTGTCGTAGGTCCGATTTAATCCGAAGTATCGTAGGACGAAAATGCTGTAGGACCGAAGTAATATTACCCATTGGAACGTATCAAGAGTAGGCAACCTTATTAACCTTGTTAAAACCCATCACCATTCAACTATATACCAGTCCTAAACAAACAGACCTAGAAAATGAGATAAATGTAAATTATTACCGAAATATATTGTAAAGATTAGGTAATCTGCGGAGAAACCCATATTACTTCCAGAACCTCCAGGAGACTGATAAAATCATAAAACTTAAGAGGAGAGAAATAAAGAGAGTTTTACTCTGCGGGACTTTCGTATGATTGCGGCGGACAATTGGCGGCATCCTTTTCAGAACCATCATAGAGAATAGAATATATATTAGAGGGGAATTTAAAGAATCTCTCGGTATGAATTTTTTCAGTCCCTTTCAGCCTGAAAGGGAGTTCATAGTGTACAAATCATGTAAATGTTCACAAATGATATGCAGTTGAGTACATTAATACAGTATGTTCCCTAGACTATTCATTTCAATTTCGAATTTTTAAACTGTTAAATAAACTTTATAATGAAATAGGTGAATAAAAAACATCATTTGATTTATAGTTATAACGGAAAATCATCATTTTTAAAGTGGAACGCATAAAGTCTATGTGAAATGATCATTGGTCAATTATGAAACCAGCCTATTTCATAATTTGGTTTTCTTTTAACATTAATTTTAGATTTTCTATAAAATGATATTCCAGGGCCCAAAAGGTTTTATAGCATAAATATGTGAACTACACCTTCAGTATGGAAACAGTAAAACAAAATGGCCGTTTTACACTTTTTTCTAGTAAATTCCCCTCTAATATATATTCTATTCTCTATGATAACCATACTTGATGAACTAAAGTTTGAAAAGCGCAATTATTTATATTTACCAAGACAAATTGGAACCGATGCTTGCGGAAATTCCTACTTTGTCTTCGGTTATTGCTTAGAAAAAGTCCTTACCCCAACCTTAGTTACAAACACATCGATCAGACTTAATTTACTAAATATTATATTGAGTATACTAATATGCAGGAAGGTTTCTTTATCAATTATAATTTTTTCGTACGATTTCATTCCGTACGTTTTCCTTTTGTGCAGTTTTATAAGGTTTGGTTCTTTTAAGTTTTATGATTTTCTATGAGTAACTCTCGAAACACCTGTAAATCTACAGGGTTTCCCACATAATCTATAAGGATAGTTAATTAATGGCTCTTAATTGAGAATAATCAGGAAATTTAAAAAGAATTATAAAAATTGCACAGGCCTATTATAAAAAAAAACTTTTATGCATGTAACACTAGTTTTGTAGAGTATAATGTGCGGATTTTAGCGAAATCTATTTATCTATTTGGCTCGCTAGTTTCAGTTAAGATTTCAGTGTTTTCTAAAAAAAGTCAGAACGGCGGAACCGATCAGAACAACATTTCTACATACGCTGAAGACTGGAGATTTAAATATGAATATTTACTCTCAATCGTACCTTTATCAAGAATGAATTAGATATCAATAACTAAATTTTGAAAACTGATTCTTTTCAATTGCGGTTTCTCTACAAAAGTGACAATTGCGCATTTCTACTGCAAGAAATATGAAGAAATTCACAGAATAATAACTTAGCCAAACCTAGAAAGAAGACGATATTAACTTACACATAATTGAGCAGATATAGGTTTCAACGCAATTTTGAATTGGGCACTGCAATCTTTGAATGGAGGAACTTTTAGCGAACAGTCCCTTAGAGTCAATATCCCTGATCAACAATCGACAGTGAAAACAAACGGAATTTAGATCAAACAAAAGGGAAACAATATTGTTTTATTCAATTGTAACTGAGAGAGTATGTAATATGTAATAGTTTGTACAAAAATAAAATATGGATCAGAACAAAAATTTGTTGTATGTTAAAAAATTACATATCACAAAATAACATCGTACACGGTACAACAGTTTACATTTAACATAATTTAAATATAACAAGATTACACTTGTAAGAGAAAATGATACATAAATGCAAAATGCATACAAATGTCGAGTACATAAATAAAGTTTTGGAATATCATTGGAATGCATTGAGTCGTTAAAGGTTAAAACTAAATATAAGCAGCCATTTCATTCTGGATTGTTAAAAGTTTTCAGCAAACTTCTTTGTGTTCTTTCTCCGTAATCAAAACGACATTTCACCTAACTCGCTGGCCGATTGAACAGAAGATTGCGACATGTCAGCTGATTTCTCACTTGACTTTGTGCAGCGGAATTGCGTGTTTCTGTCTCCACAAGATCGTTGATTTGCACATTCATTCTGAGTTGAGATAACTTCAGTGTTTTCTTGGCAGTCCCTGCATAATTGGAAAAAATCTTCAAAAATTATTTTATTTTTATTTTGATAAATTTTAAAATATTGTCCAGATCCGGATCCAAGTGGCAAATTAACAACAGAAATTTATGAAAAATGTTCATTTAAATTGTTTAGACCATGAACTCTGATTTAAAATTCGGTGATGGTGATGGACCAAACCTCTGTGAGTAAAACAGTAGATGTTAGTTCCACTTTTATTGAAAATAAATTTCAGTCTGGGTTGACCCTCGTCAGTTCTAACGATATAATAACCATCAAAATCAATAAAAAAAAAAATTTGTTGTTAAAAATCACAAGAAAATAAACAAACAAAAAAGATTATTCAAAATAAAAATTTGGGCTGTCAAATGGACATAAGGGAAACGAACTCAGATTATGAGATGGAAAATAGATAATTTGCAAATATTCACTTTCTAAGATAAAATGTTTTAAGACAATTATTATTCCTTGAGATTGTTTCTGTCACAAAGATTAAAAACAAACTGTTTAGATGTATGTGTAAAAAGTGGTGGTGGGGGTCGAACTAATTATCGAACTTTGCGTAAATCGGGGAGGGGGGGCGGCTTGTTTAAGGAGGGGTATTAAAACCTTTTAAAGAATTGGACATAAACAACTCTTTTTTTTAAAAAAGATACTGATTTCATTTTGCGACTATTTTTAGACCTACCGAAGAAATGTTAGAAAAAAGTAATATTTGCATTCAAGTTTGACATTTTTCCAATTCCTGTCATTGTTATCAATTTCATCTTTCAGAAGAAAATAGTCCGATCCAAACCTAGCATCAGTAACAGGAGAACCATCGATTGCTGATGTCTAAAAGAGATATGGATTTAATTGATAAAAAATAAACATATATCCCATTAATGAAATTCATAAAGAAATTTTATAATGACGTATTTTTAAAGCCAATTGCCGCGAAATGTGTTTTAATAAATCATTCAGAATTCAGCTAACAACTAATTTGCGTATTTCAGGGCAATTAAAAAAAAAGTTAATGATTTCAATTCAGAATAAAAAAACTCAAACTTTAATCACAGAAATCTTTTTTTGTACAGCTTAAAAAAATAACTACAGGCAATTTCATATCTTTCTGTTTATACAATTTTCAGCGGCAACAAACACTAAATAATTGTTAAGGCCTCACAACAGAAATTCTTCTTTTATTGAATCTATATATATATATATATATAGATATACATATATATATATATATATACTCAAGAACCCTTTTAACAATTTGCCGCAAACTTTGTTGAAAATTACGGGAATGTTCTTAGCTTTGTTAAAAGAGTCTAAATTGGATATAAAGGGAAAACTTAGTTTCCAGTTAACGCTGGGTTCCTAGCTAGTTCAAATACATCAATATCTCTACTCTACATCAAATAGATTCTACTGTACAGTGTTAGATACGTAAACATATCGTGATGTACACAACCGACCACTCTATTTATTAATTAATAGGGAGGTCGGTTGTGTACATCTGAGCTAAGCTTCACCTCTTCGTTTTATTACTCTATGAGTCTTTCTAAAAACAGCTATAAAATGATATTCCAGGGCCCAAAAGGTTTTATAGCATAAATATGTGAAGTACACCTGCAGTATGGAAACAGTA